CGCAAATTCAGAAATTACACAGTAAAAGAAATTTATTTTGATTTATTTTGGAGTAGTTTTTTTTCGTAAGGCAAAAATCACGTGCTCACAATTGAAAGAGAGAAATCAGATATCAAAAGCTTTGGAAGAGGAGTGAGTAAGCGAGATTTTTGGGTTAGAAAGATGTTGGGCATCAATGGGTAAGGGAAATTCTTACAGTTAATAAGTACAAAATTTGAAGATGTTTTTGTAATCCTTTTGGAAAAGGAAGAGAATCTTAAATGTAGGGGAATTATGTGTAACTGACACGTTATATTTACAGGTATGTTGCATTTCCTCTTTTTTATGGTTTTGTATAAAATTAGTAAATACAGGTATATAAAGTAATTAACAAGGAACCTAAATAAAGGTAGTAAATAAGTTTCTATTATAGTATAGCTATGTAAAAATTCCAATTTTAAACCATCTTGGCCCAGCCCATCTCAATTTAAGTAACTTTTAGGTGGGTCATTAACCCGCCCATTTATTGATTCAGCTCATTTTAACCCGCTCAAAATTAGTCAATCCGCCCATTTGACACCCTTAATTTTTTCTATTTGTTGAAGGAGCCTTTGAACTATAGATTTATAAATGCATCCTTCATTTGAAGAAACGAAATATCCTAGAAAATGCGAAGCTTTTGTGTGTCACTATGATTTTGAAGGTAGTCATTAAATTATTATAGTCAAATCGGATATTCATTAAATCATTAATAATAAAATAAACTAGTGAGGTCATTCATATATTTTCCAAGTCCAAAAAAACAAGAATTGAATATTAGAGAGATATATTTACGAAATTTCCTGGGAAAATTATAATATGTAAAATCTTTATATTATTCAGTATCCTGAAAGTATAAAAGGGTCCCTAACTAAGTCTTAAGAATATCTCAAGCTTTATTTTTCAATCTCCTATCTACAATAACCAGAAAAAACAAGTCCTACTTTTCTCACCCAAAAAAAAAAAAAAGAAAAAGAAAAAAGTAGAAAAAAATTAAAGATGACGGCGAACAAGAATGAATATGGCAAGTCTGAAGGCCAGTGGACAACAAATCTGTTCGATTGTTGGGATGATAGTTCTCTTTGTAATTACTCTAATAAACTCTTTTTTTAGTGGAAAATACTTTTTTTTCTTTTACTAATTAGTTTAATTTCTAGCCTTAAATCTAATTAACTTTTTTGTAATTTTATCTTTTTGAAGGTCTGAAGACTTGCTTTTGTCCATGTGTTACCACAGGAGAGGTTGTTGAGATACTTGATCAAGGCGCTACATGTAAGAAAACTTTTAAACATTTAATAACAGGTTTCTTTATTAAACCAAGGATTTTCAATTTAATTAACAACAAATAAAGTTTTACCTCTAATATCACTAAAACATATTATCCATGAATGTGGTGGAATGGATGAGATTCTTTCACTCTTAACCTATAGTCTCGGAACCCCTAATAGAAAGCATTTTTTCCTTTAATAGTTCCTATTGGCAGCGGAGCTAGGGTGGCAAAAGAGGTTCATCTGAACCCCATTCGTCAAAAAGTTATACGTATATATTAGGTCAAATTATTTTTTATGCATAAATGGCAGATGTTAAATCCCCTTGGTATGTTCACATGTTTACTTTTTAATATTTCGAATCTCCTCGATAAAAATTCTGGCTCCGCAATTAGTTCCTATGCATCATGAATCTGAGTTAGTAGGGCCAGTGAGTACCAGATGCTTATCAAAATAGCTAAAAGGGGAGCCTTTGCGTAACTAGTAGAGTTGCTGCCATGTGACCCGGAGGTCACATGTTCAAGCCGTGGAAACAGCCTCTTGCAGAAATGCAGGGTAAGGCTACGTAAAATACACCCTTGTGATCCGACCTTTCCCCGAACCCCGTAGCGGGAGCTTAGTGCACCAAACTTATAAAAAAAGCTAACACGTCACTTAATTTCGGTGTAATGGTTATATGATATGATTGTGCTTAACTATAGTGTCACTTACATGAATGGCAGCTAAAGGACATGCTTGTCTTCTGGCTTATGCTATGGGTAGCATTCACTGTGGATGGGTTTATGGAAGAAAATATCGAAGAAAATTGAGAGAACTTTTCAAATTACCAGAGACTCCATACTCAGACACTTTGATTAGTTGCTGCTGCTGCGTTTGTGGTATTTGTCAAGAGTACAGGGAACTTCAAAACCGCGGCGTCGATCCATCCCTAGGTAAAAATATTAATATTACGTACGAATTTCACGTTATCAATATTTATAGTTTAACATGTGATAGTATATAACTCACCCTTTTTTTCGGTCCATAAACTTAAATTCATAAATTAAATGCGTTTCAAGAATTTTAAAGACAAAAAATTTACTCCATCTACAAACGGCGCCAAACTATTTGACAAAAAATATAGATCTTGGTTCAACCAATTGAATTTAAATATGGAAGAGTCAATCTTAGCTAATAATAATATCCTAAAGACAAAGCTATCCAAAAATTGTATGTTTTTTTTCGGATGGCAATGAATATAAGCAATAATAACAGTGCCAATAATCCAAAAATATGGAATAGGGTATTAAATAGCAATAAATGGCATTTAAGTAAATAAGAATATGTGAGTCGCCCGAAAAAGGGTGAGATCTGTGGATATTTTCTCTGACAATGATGAATGATTAATAAGCTTTTGAACACTTGGGTTGTTCTTGGATCAAGTGGAAATGCGAGACAAGAATCTTAGTAAAAAGATTATTTTTGTATGCTTGTAATAGGACCAGATTCTCTCTATAAAATCAATGTGTTTTTTATAAATGAATATCTCATGTCCCCTATCATTGTATCTCTTTCTATTTATAAGGAACATATTCCTAAAAACCCTAATAATACAAGTGTAGAGAATATCTACTAGAATATTCTCTTTTGTATCTTATCTTAAAACTAACTGTTCACTCTGTCTAAGATGTTCGACCTCGACCTTGAACTATGATGACTCCACAACCTTGATTTTTATTGACTCTTCGACCGCACTCTTTATTGCTTCGAGGCTACTTCGACCTAGGGCAGATTTCGTGGAGATCTTACTGATAGCACATGGCAACCGATGAAGGCTATCATGATGCTGGCGTGGCTTGCCTATATCAAAGATATTTTTTGCCAATATACGACCGTCTTTTAAAAGAATTAACTATACTACAGATTATATGCTATTTACTATTGAAAATTTTATTTTGTAGTTATAGTAAATTAATTAAGTTGCTTATTTCTGGTTGTTGATGTAATTATGAGGTATTGACTTTGTAGGATGGGAAGGCAATGTTGAGAAATGGAAAAGAGAAGGGGTAACTGTGCCACCAATTCCTACATCTACCATGAGTCGTTAATTGGTATCTTTTGTTCTTGTGTGCTGTGAGCTTGTTTGTGTCATGAGTTTTAGTTTTCCTTTCTTTGATATGTAATGTAACTTCCATTAGAGCAAATGTTGAATGCTGTTGTTGCTACAATATTTGTTTGATTGTATCGGTGATAGTGTGTGCTGTTTAGCTATGTAATTGTCATATTAATTAATGAATTTATTTATTTTGGAATGATAGATACTAATAATTACTCCATTCAATGTCCATTTTGTATGCACTTATGATTTGACATTGATTATTAAGAGGTTGAACATGTGAGTTGTTTATTGCATATCAAGAAATATGAGAGTGATACTTCTATATGGTAGAATTGTAGGATTACAATATGTGAGTGATACTTCTTTATTACTCTAATGATTTTTTTGACCCCAATAAGAAAAGTTTTGGAAAAATAAGTCTCAGTTAGTGTGATGACCCAAAAGGTCATCTCGTATTTTAGAACCCCAATTTGGGGTTCCGAAGCCTTTACAACCTCATCTTACTTCTTCTCTATTTGCATGCGCAGTCTGGACATGTTTCCGGAAAGCCTTTATATGAGAATTTGAGAAAAAAAATAATTTTGCCTTTAAAGTGATTTTAATTGATTTCGGTCAACATTTTGAGTAAACGGACCCGGACTCGTATTTTGATAGTCCCGGAGGGTCCGTAGTAAAATATGGGACTTAGCCGTATACCCTGAATCGAATTCCGAGATACCTAACCCGAGAAATGAATTTTTGATAAAAATTGTTAAACTGAAATTATAATGGTTTTGAGAAAATGGCTAATAGTTGATCTCGTTGGTATCGGGTCCGTATTTTGGTTACGGAGCTCGGTACAGGTCCGTTATGATATTTATACCCTATCTGTGAAATTTGGTGAGTAAGGGACTGATTTGACGTGATTCGGACCGTTGATTGAGAAAATATAACTTTTGAACTTTCTTAAAAATTTCATGCAATTTGATGCTAAATTCGTAGTTCTAGGTGTTATTTTGGCGATTTGATCGCACGAGCAAGTCCGTATGACGTTTTAAAACTTGTGTGCATGTTTGGTTTAGAACCTCGGGGCTCGGGTAAATTTTGGATAGGCTACAAAGTAATTTGGAACTTAGAAATTATTACTGGTATAGCTGAACTTGTTGCAGGCCACAGACCTCGCAAATGCGAGGTCAAGGTTCGCATGTGTGACTACTGATGAGGTCGCATTTGCGAGCTTCTCATCGCATGGACCAGCCCATGATCGCAAATGCGAAGAGCCCTTCTCGTAATGGGAATGAGTGCACCGCAAGACCAGGCAAATTGCTCCTTCGCCTCACTTCTTACAATTCCAGTTGAACCCACAACAAAGCCAGCGTTGCTTTCGTGGGATCAACTGCTCATTTTCGATATAAAACTGGATAATCAAAAACAGCGTCCTTTTTTTTGGAATCGAGCGAGATGATATGCTGAAACGGGTGCTAGCTTGTAAACCGCCGCAACATTTGCGAAGTAAGTCTAGGGGAGGGACCTTCGCATTTGCAACCAAATGGTTCGCATTTGCGACAGCAGTAGAAATGCGACAGGTTCGCATATGCGATGCCTTTCTCGCATTTGCGAGCTTCGCAAATGCGAAGCTCGGTCGCAAATGCGACATCTGCAGCTGATAACTTTGGACTTAGACAGGATTTTTCATTCATTCTCCCATTTTTCAAAACCTAAACTTCAAGAGGCAATTTTCCTAGGGCTAGTTCTTCCCCAAATTATAGGTAAATGATTCTTTACTCATTTCATTCAATCTATTACATCTTTTTACAAGATTTCATCCTAGAATCTAGGATTTTTCATGGTGGAATTGGGTGTTTTTGGGTAGAACTTAGGAACTTCGAAATTTGGGGATTTAGACCTCAAATTGAGTTCGGATTCCAAAACCAATTGTATATCCGGGCTTGGGGGTGAATGGGTAATCGAATTTTGGTCTGAACTTCGAGTTTTGACCAAGTGGGCATGGGGGTAGGTTTTTGACTTTTTGGGAAAAATGTTAGGAAACCTATAAATATGTATTGGAATTGATTTCTTTAGCAATAATTGATGTTATTAAGTTAACTATGACTATATACGAGTGGTTCGGAGGTGGAATCTAGAGGAAGCGGTGATTGAGGCTTGATTTTGGCCGTGGAATCGAGGTAAGGGTTGTGGCTAACCTTAGCTTGAGGGATTATGTGTTGTTGCCTTATTTTCTATGTGTTTGGTTGTTGAGTACGACGTATAGGAGAGTGACGAATACCTATACATTGTCGTCGAGACATAGTATGCAAGTGAGTCTTATACTTGTGACTGTTGTATTCCTTATTCATACTGTTCATGTTGAAACTAGTTATTCTTCATGTTAAACAAATCTTATCATGTCTTCCTTGGAATTAGATATTGGTTGAGTGTTGACTCAAGTTGAGATCTATATTGTGAAGTTAAATATTGAAACATGGTTAGTTATTGATGAATCTCTTGCCGGGTGTTATTGCTCTGTTGTTTGGGTGAGGAAGAGTGTAAAGCACGAAAAGTGATGACGTGCAACGTATTGTGAGTGAGTGATAATGCACGAAGGGTGATTCCGTGCCGTATTCTGTGAGTGATAATGCACGAAGGGTGATGTCGTGCCATGCTATGAGAGAGTTAATGCACGAAGGGTGATGTCGTGCCATGTTATGAGAGAGTTAATGCACGAAAGGCGATGTCGTGTCGTTTCTATTGTTTCTTATGGTGAGAATGAGAGTAAAAACATGATGGGTGATGTCGTGCACTTGTTTGCTATGTTATTACTTTCGTTGGTGCAAAGCATGATATTTACTACGTTCCTTTAATGTACTATTTTCAGGATTTGATATTCCTCTCAGCATGTTTTTCCCCTTCCCGTTATTATCTGTTAAATTTTTGTTTGTTGTTATTTTCTCGTATATGATTTAACTACACAGGTTCATGTTATTGTCAAGTCCTAGCCTCGTCACTACTTTGTCGAGGTTAGGCTCGACACTTACCAATATATGGGGTCAGTTGTACTGATACTGCACTCTGCACTTTTTGTGCAGATTTCGGTACTGGACCGCATTGATCAGAGTTGGGTTGCTTCCTTCAGTACATCAGGAGACCTAAGGTAGTTTTGCCGGCGTTCGCAGACCCTGGAGTCCCATTTCTTATATCCTAGTTTCCCTGTTTTGTTGTATTTCGAGAACAAATATATTTCTTTTAAACCAATATTTGTAGTAACTCTTAGAAGTTCGTGGATTGTGAAACCAGATTTTGGGTAGTTGTGTATTAGTATTTAGACTATCATAAATTTTCGCACTTCTTTACTATGTTTCAGTTTAATTATTGTTATTTATTATTTTGGATAGTAGCTAGCATATTAGATCTTTGTCTGTTGGCTTTCCTAGTATGTTGAAAAGTTAGGCGCCATCACGATCCCTACGGTGGAAAATTCGGGTCGTGACAAGTTGGTATCAGAGCACTAGGTTGCCTAGGTCTCACAATTCAAGAACAAGCTAGGTAGAGTCTGAGGGATTGGTACAGAGACGTCTGTGCTTATCTCCCAGAGGCTACAGAGTTTAGGAACAACTTCACTTCTATTCTTATCTAGCGTGCGATTTGATTTCTCAATGCTAATCGAACTTTCTACTCTTGTTCTTTCGCAGATGGAGAGAACACGTACCGCTTCATCAACTGATCAACAGCCCGAGCCCCTAGTGGCAGCTCCTACGAGAGGTAGAGGACGAGGACGAGTCCATGCCAGAGGCTGAGGTAGGGGCAGGGCTCAACCTAGAGCTCGAGCACTAGCACCGGTAGGGAGCCTCAGGTGGAGTTCGATGATGAGGTTCCGGCTCAGACCATTCCGGCAGGGCCAACTTAGGTTCCCGAGGGGTTCATCGCCACCCAAGTAATTCTGGATGCTTTGGTCCGTCTAGTGGGCCTTATAGAGAGCGTAGCTCAGACTGGCACATTTCCTATAGCACCAGCCGTCTCTCAGGCTGGGGGAGGAGCCTAGACTCCCGCTACCCACACTCCAGAGCAGATGGCTCATCAGTTTCAGACTCCGGCAGCTCAGCCAGTTGGAGTAGTTCAGTCAGCTACAGTGGCACATGCCGTTGGTGGATCAGTCATGTCTTCTGAGGCTTTGTTGAGGTTGGACAAGTTTACCAAGCTTTTCCTGGTTCATTACAGTGGGACAGCTTCTGAGGACCCGTAGTATTATCTTGACTACTTCCATGAGGTGTTGCAGAACATGGGGATAGTGGAGACCAATGGGGTCGACTTTGCTGTATTCCAGATGATAGGTTCCGCCAAGAGATAGTGGAATGATTTTGGTGTTGACTAGACCAGCTGGGTCGCCTGCCTTGACTTGGGACCAGTTCTTTCAGCTATTTCTCGGGAAGTTCCTTCCTGTTACTCAGAGAGAGGACTATCACAGGCGGTTCAAGCATCTTCAGCAGAGTTCTATGACTGTCACTCAGTACGAGACTAGGTTTGCTGATTTGGCCCGTCATGCTTTACTTGAAACCCATGTTGGGTATTTAAGTTCCCGAATAAACCTAGCTTAAATGAGTTTGTTAACTTCGGTTTCAATCAGGGGAACCAAGTCCGGCCTAAAGCGCCTTTGATCTTGCTTAACAGGACGAGCACCATTTTTGACTACAAGGTGATGGACTGCTACTTTAGGGTCCAAGCCAGGCATTTCTTTGTAACTCCAAGCAAAGACATCCCTAAACTCCTTGAGTTACTCAATATAAGTGCTTTCTTCATCAACTTCTAGTAAAACACTTAGGTAGGTGGGTCTCAGTTCTTCATCAGTGCCAAGGTTAACTTCTTTTAAGGCATCAATCGTTGCCTTCACCCCTTCTTCAAGTTCCGGTGGAGTTTCTTTCACATCTTCATATTCTTGAAGGTCCCTTTCGTTGAAGGATATGTGATAACATGGTGAAACATCATCCAATTTCTCGTCATCCTCCATTAGAGATGAAACATTGTGCTCGCTTTATGCAGTAACATGATACGAAGGACCCACACTTCCTTCGTCTTCATCACGTTCTTTAGTGTAGACCACAGTTCTTTAGAACCTTATCACATGAAACCATGACTATTGTTTGTTGCCTTATTCTATAAGGAACCAGACTTTGGAAATCTTTAGAGATCTTCCGAATTTAGGGTGAAGCAGGTGTCCTTGTATT